TGGCTAGCTTATTTAGCCGGATTTATCATTAGCACAGATGTATAAAGTCTAGCCTAATATTTCTTTACTGCTGAGCCCCTGTAAATACCCCCATGGAGCCTCCAGCCCGGGGCAGCAGCAGCAGTCAGGTGTTGTGAACTTGCCTGCTCTCCGGCACCGCAGTATGGACCGAACCTCCTGCGTCGTCCGGCGGTGTGTGAGCTTCTCGTCCAGCGTCGGGTGTCTGTAACGTTTCGGGAACCTTTCTTTCACTATCGCCGGCTTCCCCAGAAACTCTGCCCGGTACACTCGAGCTTCTGCCCCTTGTTTCAGTAACTCTGCCGTCTGGAGGAACTCTGGCACCGCCATGTTTTCCTCCTCCTGCAGCTTTTTCTTCTTCTACGGTCCGCTGTGCTGCTGTTTACTCTGCCGCTGTGTTTACATGCTGCCACCCAGCGGCCATAATGGGTATTACACAACACCCGTATAAGTCAATAGGTAGAATTAAATTTAAAAAATTTAATATACTCTTTCTATTTATTTTTTTTTGGGGGGGGGGATCATAAGATAAAATAGTCTATTTGTCATCTAGGAAACAATACACTTACTAAGAGGTAATGTAATTTTAAATCATTTGAGTAAACAACAAAAATGAGTACACTCCTGTGCAGCACTATGAAAATGTTCATCTCACAATATAAGCATTGTTTTGTTTTGTTTTTCTTTTGCTTTTTTTGTTTTTAAGAGGGAAAAGAAAAAAAGGAAAATGTTGACTGCATTCCAATTACATTGTATGTCTTGAACGTGCTTCAATAAAAATATGCAGAAAAAAAAACGATCAATACTTCCATATCCACACTGGGTTTCACCCATCAGCCACTTTATTAGGTGTGAAATGTTCTGCAGTCCAATGGAACAGCCGTGCCATACGTTCTACTTTCACAAAGCTTCTACATTTTTAGTTTTTGTTGTCAAAAAAGAGAAATTTCTACTTTTACACTGTGGTCATGGTGGGTGGTGATGCTGTACTGGACTGTATTACATTTAAAAGTGTTCCTAATATTTTGGATTTTGTAAATGTACCTAATTAATTGGTCAATGAGTGAAAAACACACAAAAAAACAACAAAAACTTACATTTAATTTTCATACTGATGCATTTCATACAGAAAACTGGGCCTTTATTTAATATAAACAGAGTCTTAATTTGACTGAAGGTATAATGGATGTGTTGCAGTGATCAGCTCTGATGGAGGAACATGTGAGAAAACAGCTGACTGCTCCTTTAACCGGCTGTGGCCGACGTGCGGAGCCTCTCCGGGACTTTCTCTTCCCGGGATAACCGGACAGTTGTCGACCTCTGGCGTCAAAACTCCGCCAAGAAGTTTTATTTTTTTCCTGCAACTTGACTCGGCTGCCACGTAGCTGCAACTTCCTGAAGGGAAGAGAAGTTTTCCAGGAGCATCTCTGGTCTGAGTAACTGTCTGAGCTGCTCGCCGTCAGTCTTTGTGTTCGTCTAACAGCAGATCCAGCAGCTCGGAGCGGATTGAAGCAGAGCTGGAGGACATCACAGTTCTTACTTTTACAGCTGGAGGACGGAGTTTGGAGGAAAGTTCCTGAGTAAGTCCAGTCCAGTGCTGCAGCTCATGTTTACATTTCAGGAGAAAAAAAATGTTGGACTTGTGTGTTATGTGTAGAGTTTGAAGTTTGAAGCCAAACTTTGAGGGTAAACCGAGGAAAAAAAACAAAAAGAAAAAAAAAAAGCCTTTTATTGAAGAAGCCTCCCACCGTGTTTCCTCCACTTACCCACGAGATGTAGTCAGTTTTTATTTAATTAGTTTTCTTGGATGATCTTGAAAAGGCACTGAAGTCATTATCATGAAGTGTTTATGGGCTAAACTGATTCTAACAGTGCAAAACAAGCCTCTGTGTTGTTTTGTAAGGATATACATACATGTTTATTTATACTGTCTATTTATTCTAGTATGACAGTCATGTGAAGGGTTATCCAAAGATATCAGCAAAAACACATAGTGTTTCTGTTACATGTGAAGGCGGACATGGTTTTCAGTTATCTGTCCTGCTCAGGTTGGATTTGTGAGCAGACACACACACCATCATC